TTTTTACGTAGAGATGGGGGGAGCATATTTTAAAATGAGACGAGCGCTATAGAAAGTGTGCATTTCACTCACTCATTGATGCGCGTGGGGCACCATTTCTCCCCGTGCTCAAATATCATTCTCTCTCCTATACTATTCATATTTCGAGCATGACGCTCAATTTTCTTACTGACTCCCCAGTTTTATTTAGGAAATTTTTTTTATAAAATTTATTTAATTTTATTTATAAATTATAATATTATTTTTTTAAATAATATTTAAAAAATTTAAAAAAAATTATTTTAATTAAGAAAAATAACATAACATTATTCTTAAATTTATTATATAACAAAATATTTAAAATTTTATATATTTTTATTTTTTATATTTTTTATTGATATTAATAACTTTGATAAAAATGACTATAAAAAAATTGGCAGAGCATTTTTTTTTATTTTTTTAAATATTAGTTTTATCTAACACAAATTTAAAAAACAAAAAAAGAAAAAAAGAAAAAAAATCTCTTTCTTTCTCTCTCCCCTCCTGCACTGTATGTTACTGTGTAATGACGAGACAAAGCTTTCAAACGCTTCATAAAGTTCAAAAACTACGCGTCCCTTCCTTCTCACAACGATCAGCAAAAAAAACCTAAAACTTTCTCTCTCTGCTTCTTTCTCTTTCTCTCTTCCTCCGAGTTTTCCCGGAATATCCTTTCCTCCTTTTATTTTCCGGGAATTCCGATTCTGCTTGCTTTGCTTCCTTTTACAGATTAAATCACACTTGTCTCTCTGTACGTTTTCCATGTATGGAAGACAAAGACAAAGCAGTATCATCCCGCCCTGCAATATCTCCGACTGAGTTCACCACCGACTCTTCCAGCTGGGCACTCGGTCCCGATGACTCTGACGGCGTCTATTTCTTCTCAGGAGACCGAGACGCCAGCAGTATACTCAGCGAGTTCGGGTGGAATCTCGAACCGGAGGAAGACGCACCGGATCGGTGTCGATGGTACGTCTGATGTGGCGGGAGGAGAAGGAGGGGGCGGAGGAGGAGGATTGTGGTTTCCAGATCACTCTGCTCCGGGTGGCTCGACGGAACAAGCTGAGAAAGCGAACACGGTGGCAGCCGATGCGTCCACGTCGAATAATCAATCGGTGTCTTCGAGCTCTAGCGAGGATCCGCCCGAGAAGTCCACCGTATCAGATGAAAAACCGCCGGAGATACCGTGAGTGGGTTGTTTGTTCTCCCTCTCGTTTGATAAAATTCGTAATTAGGTCGAAATTCAGGGGTAGACATAAACGCTGTCGTGTTAAAATAAACGAAATATTGCAATCAAATCAGAATCGTATCAAGCTGCGCCTTGTTTGTTTGTGCTCATTTAACTCTCTGTTCCTTGGGGGAGAGTGCAATCCACTGTCCGTACAATCTAGAACCTGGCCACACAGGAATACAATATGGAGTATTCTCTGCCAGTTTTTTCTTCTTCTTCTATTAACTTTTTTTTTTTTGGGGCGGGGGGATGAGTTAGAGTAAACCGAAAGAAAGTTGAGCCACTTTAGGACAACAAGATTGGGGTCCGAAGAGGAAGACCCTGTCGTCTTCTCGGGTCATTGAAATTTTGGCCCGCAAGCACCGCCGTTATTGCGGCGGGAATGGCGTGGTCGAACCCAACCAAAAAATATGCCGTTTAAGAAGTTTTCTTACTGTACGTAGTAGGCATTGTTTGCACAAAAGAAGGAATGATGGGAGAGAAATATACACGATGCATTTTCTATTAGTAGTAATGACTGGCGGTTTAAAGACATCAATTCTGTGTTGAGTATTTAAATTTATTTTTCAATTAATATCTAAAAAAGTTATTTTTATTTATTTTAAGATGATGTTGTGGTGCTTAAAAATAGAGTTTCTTTTCTTTTCTTTTTTTTTTCAGTAAAGGGCCTAAAATAGAGTTGGCCTTAGTTGATCCCCAGTTTATTTGATGACCTTTTTCGGCGTGTAATTTGAATGAAGATAGCTCGGTACGTATATGTAGCAATTGTCTAGCGACTTGTGTTAAAGATGGGTATTTTCTAGTTGAAAAGTTTTTAATTTTATTTTGGAATTGATGTTTAAATGTGAGGACAATGTAGTGTGCTCTTAAAATAGAGTTTATCTCAGTTGATGCCCAAAATAATTTTTCTAGCGTGCGTGCGTGTGTATAGTACTAACAAAAGTGTCTGCTTGTGATTTGTATTTGCCTATCAATTTCATCATCTTAGCTTCAAGAATGCTTGTGTGTGGTTCTGGTTAAAAGGCGAGCTGTTGCTTCTTTATATTTGTGTTTCTGTAGCGAGATTACTGTGATGTGTATATATTTTATGTTGGCTGTGGTTTAAAATCATCAGTAATATCATAAGAGGTAAAACAATTGTATTGCACCTGTCATTTTTGGCTCTAAATGATACAAGACTGATAATTGCGTTGGGTAGCTTTATGTAGGTTTCTTTTATGCACAGCACAGTTTCGTTTTCGCTTTGGTGCATACAAATTGACTTCTATGATAATTTAAGATTGTGGTGGGATAATTTAAAATTCGCCCGTGCGAAGAAAGCTGATTTTCCCCCCATATCACGTCATCGAAGTGGTTGACCATTACATACAAATATACATAGATATTATATATGCCTAGACAGGACTTATTTAAGGATATTTATCACTTTTACCGACGTATATAATGTATAATTAATGATAAGGAATGTTGATAACTTTTATAGTATCCCATTCGCTGCATGGATTATCTTCAATTTCTTTATAGTATATATTCATATATAGCGAAATACGGTATATAGCTATTGAAGAAGCTCCAATTCAATGTCTTCTTTACTATATAGTCATCGTTTATGATCTCATATATATTATATATATGCTTGAATTTTCAGTACTGTGTTTTTTTATTTTGACAAATAAATGTAGGTGACATTTTGTAGGAGTAAAAGTAAAAAGAAGGGGCAAAAGCGAATACGGCAGCCGCGGTTTGCATTTATGACTAAGAGTGAGGTTGATCATCTTGAGGATGGCTACAGATGGCGCAAGTATGGCCAAAAGGCCGTAAAAAATAGTCCATTTCCTAGGTGGGGTATCTACATTTTCTTTATAAGTAAAATTTTTAATTAACCAAAACTTAATCTGGGCTATCATTACTCGACCTTTCTGTTCTAAATCTTCCTTTGATCGATATGTCAAATAATTTAAAATCTTATATGTCTTTGGAAAGCATAATGAGGAGGAAATAATCACGGTAGAGTTGAATGATGATAACATTGGCATCTAGACTTGCGCAATGGTTGCATCATTCACCCATCCTAATATTTGCCAAACAATAATACGATGCTTAATTTGTTCTTTATATTTAATTATTTTTTATGTTTGAATATGAAACTTCTTGTCGACTACTCATATTCTCAACTACGGACACAGATTCCATATCTATTCCATTGTACGGATTAGTCTCTGCAATTGCCTGCACAGTAGCTCACTATACTTTAACTGGAATAATTTGCCCAATAATTACTTAAACATGATCTCAAATGGTCTCACTTATACTCCGGAAAACTTTTCTAAATGAGATCAAATTAATCAGGATTGTAGTTTCAAAAAACTTTGTAGAAATAACATACGACTAGCATTTAGCATTTGTAATTGCATGTGTCAATCTGATCCTCTTCTCAGATATGTTAATTTAGAGGTACTGATATCATGTATTGCACAGAATGATGAATGACCTGAATTATTTATATTTTATATTGATTGTCAATGACACAATATTTGCATATAATGGAATTCTTGCTAACCAGTTGATGAACTGGTTGAAATTGAACCTATATGGTTATGTGGTTAATTTTGGCACATGCAGGAGCTACTATCGTTGCACAAACAGCAAATGCATGGTGAAGAAAAGGGTGGAGCGATCTTCGGACGATCCCACCATTGTGATAACAACGTACGAAGGCCAACACTGTCATCACACAGTTGGGTTCCCTAGAGCAGGAGTATCAATCATGAGCCATCATGAAGCTGCCGCGGCCTTTGCCGCAGCCGGCCAGTTGGCTCCTACAATGTCACAGTTCTATCATCCGATCCAATTACCAAGAGAAAATGCTAGTACTCTTTCTTCTCGGTCTCAAGCTCCTCTTCCTCCTCATCACCAGCAGCAGCAGCAGGCGCAGGATCATGAACCAGCTGGAGTATCGTCCAGCACTTTAATGTGTCCAGATGATGCAGCCTCGCAGCACCCTCCCATTGATCAAGGACTTCTCGGAGACATTGTGCCGCCAGGAATGCGTAATGGATGAGGAGGGAGAGACATGACGCATGGTATATATATACGCACAACTTCGCATCTTTAATCTATCATCTTTTAATTTTATATAAATATTTATATATTTCTTGTGCGTAATAAAAAAAAGGGGAATCTCCCTCTATGGGGAATAGGGTACTTGTTTTTATGGGTTTTTAAGGAAACTCATAATTGTTGCCATTAATTAACTAGAAGAAATATTTACATAAGAAAAAGATTATATGAAATATTTCCAACCAAAACATGATCATTTTATATATATATGGTTTTTGTTTTTTAAATAATAAATTACCAAACGCATAATTCTTGCAAACAAGTATACCCTATTATAGCTCGATCTGACATCAGTAAATTATTATTTTTAATTAGAATTCTTTGTATATGATATAACATCATTAGAAAATGCAAAACAGCAACGCGATATAACATCATTATGAAATATGAAATTAATAATGGCTACCTGTCATTTTCCCTTCTAGTTGGATAAATGTTTAATTTGGTGGACAAAATGTAGCAAATTTAATTAAATTCAGTTCTATATATTATTTTTATTTAAGTTCTTAATCCCTTCAAAAATCTTGAAACTTAGTTTTGTATTCATTAATGAAATTTTTGTTCTAATTCAGAGAGATTATTAAAATGATACTATGCATACGCTTGAAGAGTAAAATAGCCAAAGTGATGTCTTAATTAATTAATGTAATATTTAATCAGTTAATGACTGCTAGGGTACAGAATTTAGTGTGTTCTTCATGTTCTTTTTGCTGCTGTGTGGCAAGGGGAATCTGTAATCTGTTATAATACTCTGCTGTTTTGAATTATATAAGATAACTTTAAAGATATTTTTTATCTTAAAATATAAGATAACTTAAAAAAATTATTAATGATATCTTGTTAATATTATTTTTTAAAGTGAAGAGGGAATTAAAATAATATTGTAGTGTACGAACTATAGCTTTGTTTTGAAGAGAATTTGTGAAATGTTATTATTAAGTTTTATTGATATTTATAATTTTATTAATTTTAAATTGTTTTATCATCTGAGAAGAAGGACTATTTGAGAGCTGCCTTTGGAAATTAAATTACTATCTGATGCTACTACCTAAGAATAAGATGCTGATGATAACAGCCTAAAAAATAACAATGTAGGCGTTTGCTGTGGTTCAATCAGTAACTTGCGCACTGAGTTGCGTGTGGTCTGAGTGCTGCTTTTATGATTTTTTTTTTGTTTTTAAAATATTGTGTTGGCAATGACGAGGACAGTTGTCAATTTCTAGATCCTCTAGTGTCTATTTTTTGTCTAGATGGAATCTCGACTAACATGCTAATCAAATGTTAAATGGGTATATTAAATTAAATTTAAAATTAAAAAGTAGTGGTGTAAATTGATTGGTTGGTGGTAAGTCTCTAGCTGATTCATAATTGCAGTCATTTATAGAAGTTGCTTTTTTTTTTTTTTAACTTTTACTGGTAAAAAGTTCCATGGGATGAAAAAACAGACACAGGACGCGGAATATTGTTTATCATGCTATGCAATGAATATTACTGTTGATGATTATTATTTTGTTTAGATAATTTAATTATTGAAACAAATGAAACTTTATGCGTTAACTGTATCAGGAAATGAAATTTGTTAGTTATTAGTAGTATAACAACAGCATATTTGGCAGTCTGCTGTTCAGATTTTGTACTTTCTCCGTTTTTATTTGTAGGAGAAAAAATTTGTATCATACAATTTAAAAGAATGAGTTAACTGTATTAATTATATTTAAAAATAAAATAATTTGACTATAATACTTTTTGTTAATTGTATTAATTAATTTTTTATTAATTATTTTTTATGATTATGAATGATAAAATTATGAGAAATAATTTAAAAGTTTGCAATAAATATTTACTAAAAAATATGATTTTATTTAATGATAAAATTATGGCAATTTAAAAAGTTTGCAATAGATATTTATTAAAAAATATGATTTTATTTATAAAAAAATTAAGTTAAAAGTAATAGTTTTTTTTAACAAATAAAAACGGGGGAAGTAATTTGAATTTTTTTATTTTTTGGCAAACCTTAGAAGTCAATTTTAAGATTAAAAAAAAAAGGAGAATCACATTTAACCCAAAAAATTGAATTTAAATTTTTATCTGTTGTATTTTGACTAACATTAATTATGCATAAAATAAAAGTAAAAAATTAGATTTCACACCTAAAAACTCATGGAAGAAGTAAATAATTGTATCTTATGCAGATTCATTGGATATTTACCTAAAACAATTTGCAGAATTGCAGAATTTTAACATGGTTAAGAAGCTTTTGATTGATTGACTTGAGGAAGTGGTCATGCATCATGATTGCCGACATGCATTTGTCTCTGTGGCTAAGAACTTCTCTAATAGTCGTCTTACTAAAGATTGTGTCAGTGACTCAGTAGACCTACCCTTATCTTGATAACTACCCACTTCCTCATCGTTGCTGTCTTGTCATCCCCCTTGAAAGTTGAAACATCCTTTCTTATAAGGTAACGTTCCACCAGAGACCCCACCCACACTATTTTTTTATTATTATTATTTTGGGTGACTATTTTAAATCTGTTACTGTTCGTCATCTTCTTCTACACCCTTACAAATTAGCAAGAGATCAGTTCCTATATGTAATTGTTTGCTCACGTAAAAGAAAGCTTAATTCTTTGAAGGAAACTTCATGATACCGAGACTTGCTTGACCTTTTATTTACCATTGCTTTTCTCTAAAGTCCATAGGAAGAAAGGATTCATTGAATGGAGTTTCTTCCTTCTGTTTCTTTCTTTCTTTGTTTATATATGCTGCGTGTGTAGAAAGGTATGTTTAGCTTTACAGAGCGATAGCTTTAAGTTTTAAACTGTTTAACTTTTTGGGAGCAGTGGAGAAAATCCCTCGCTCCACGGGTACGAAAAATTTAACGCAGCAGCATGCATCCCACTTATCCTTTTGGGGCAAATCGAGAAACTTTGCGGGTCTTTAGCCACCTTTAGAATCTCATTTTGACCTTTATTATAGGCTCCATGTGTGAGACTCATATATAGGAGGATGACATGCTGCGGTAGAAGAACGAGAGGGCTAATTCTCTTATTTGAAGGAAACTGTTAAGCATTAAAAAATACAGAGAGAAGAAAAAAGTGGGGAGGAGGGGAATGAGTAAGTAGGCCCCCTCACTCTCTCTTCTCTCTCATACTTTTATTGCGATGGGATCCTCTCTGATGGAACCAGAAATCAATTTATCTTCTTACATTATATTATTCATTCAGTTCATGACCGATGAATCAATTTGATGTACAACGACTCTTGAATGCTGAAGTCAATCAATTTATGTACAGTCGTTTAATTTGTTTGAGATTTATTCATGCAAGCTAACTGCAGTTTTAGAATGTTCATCTTAATGTACCAGCACCATCCTGAAGAGTATGGGACTGGGAGCTAGCTAGCTTCTGAAAGAAAAGAGAAGAAAAAAGAACTATAAGTTTTACATATAGTTCTGGTATCTGATCATGTATTGGCTGGCAGATAGATATTATATATGGCTTTGATGAACTTGATCGTGAGTTGAATGCGAGCAGTAAATACAAAGAGTGAGTTCCACCCAAAAAAGTAAATAAAAAGTTGGGGATTTGATGGATGTACTAGCTGGTAGCTACCTCTTATGCTTGATAAAGAGACATATTTCGTTAGGTATGTGTTTATTGTATTATATATATATATATATATATATATTTATATCATTCATGGACCAAATTCATGAATGAATTTCCCATTTCAGAAGCTTCAACGCATCCATTAAAACAAAGTTCTGAACCCTGTCAGTGTAATTATCTTATGGAATACTATACCTAAATGACTGGTGGCTTAGCTATGTAGAGCAAGGATGGTGATAGGTCTATCGTCTGTTATATGCTCATCTCGATTCTCGCCAGTAATGGTGGATGGTCCAGCACCATTAATGCCTTCGCCCAACATCATGTGATGAACCTGATCACACTGTTCATACACGCATGTTACTTTGATGGCTCCCTGTCATAGCACTGTTCTCTCTATTTCTTGACTGATCTGACTCTCTCTCTCACACTGTGTTAACACTGTTTGATGGGTCAATTATATCATTGTCATTTCAGATCAAGCAAGAGTTGAAGATGGCCAAAGCTAGTACAGGAAGAGAAGGGGGAGAGAGAGAGAAAACTGGGAATAGAGAGAGAACCAATTTGGGTGGATTTGCCTTACATTCCCTGAACAAGTAGGCCACAGGGGGCACCCATTTTTTCAGCAGCTAGCTTTTTCTCTATCGACGAGCATCAGATTCCTTACTATTATTCATGCATGGAAGTCCCATATACAGTACCAGCAGGCTCTACCTATAATACCTATATAGCTACCAGGTAACTTCACTCATTCCGGTTCAGCCAAAGCTTAATTTATAGATATATATATATATATATAATCATAACGAATATATAATCTTCATATTATTCAATTTTAGTGAACATATGGTTCATACATATACAATATGTATATTTATTTAACGATTGGGCCTGTATATATAGCTAACTGATGTAGAATTGTTGATTTTTCCCCCCTGGGTCTTGAGCTGGTTGTTATCTGCTTCAGTGTAATATATATATATATATGTATATATATATATATGTATATATATATATATATATGTATATATATATGTTCAAATCGCTGGATAATAATGGATACCCCTAAAGCAAATAGTTCGCTTTTTTTTTTTTTTAAAATAGAGACTGACTCCTCGTGTCATCGGCTATATCCTAACATGAAGGTGAGGTTTGATTAAAGATGTAAAATCATTAAAAGGATCATGAGATAAAAAATAGCTAACAGATAAGCACATTGGTTAACTTTCCTGTACGTAGTTTAGTGTTCACCCCTTATGCCACTGTTAGTTGAAATAAAACGCCTGGTGTTCTATAGTAGTATATCTTGGACCTGACAGAAGGACAACTTTTTTCCCTATTTTTGTATGTAAAGAAAAAATTCCTGTCAGTTCAGCTGTGCGTTGCTTTACTGTAACTTGATTTTTTTTTGGAAATAATTATTTGCTTGATATACCGATGTCTGCAGTACGTATATGAAGCACTAACTGCACCAAATTGGCTTTCCTCTGCTGCAGGGATGAGTAGAGGAGGATCTTTGTAGATGTGAACATATAAATTAGATTTGGTATTTAGATTCGATAATTTTTAAAAGTATATATTTAATTTAAACAATTTAAATTTATAATATAGGAATAGTGGGAAAATGAAGTAGATGGATTGAAACCTACCCCTATTTCCACAGATCCTTCTGATTGATGAGAAGAATTTTTAATTTGATATAATTAATTAAAGTAAATTGAAAGTACTAGTGAATATATATATATATATATTAGTGGAAAGTAGTGAATATATTTGTGTGAGTAGTGGGAATATAGGAGTGGCATGGGTACGTAACTGTGAGGTGGGGGTTGGAAGTTGAAGGAGAGAGGGCCAATGCATTGCAAAGCAAGAGCGCAATCAGTTGCGCGGAAATCGAAATTGCTTCAAAAGTCCTATCCCCGACATTGCTTGCTTTTCATTGGACAATGGAAAAAAACACACATTCCATTACACTAGGCTTTAAAATCATTATTAAAAAAAAAACTCCATGGATCCACCTGTTTAGGTTTTTTTTAATGAAAATATTAATTATTCTTTAAAAAAAAGGTTTATTTGATGATATTTGTTCAAACTTTTAAAAATAATAAGAACATGAAAAAAAATCAACTCAAATGGGTAATAAGAATATGTCCAAAACTTACGAGGACATAAAATTAAATCTTACTATTAATATGATGATTTTGTTTGTAAGTGATTTGTAAGTATGTGTAAGTATTGTTAGTCAATTCTTAAAATTTAACTCACCTAAGTTTTTGTTCATAAAAAAGATTAAGAATGTAAAAAAATAAAATAAAAAGGAAGGTGTTCTTCTAAAAATAATCTTATAAAATAAAAATATAGATATAGTAAATTATTTTTATATATAGAGATCCACGACAATGTCAAAATTTTAAAGTAGCCAAATATTATATTTTTTATCAAATCTGGATAAAATAAATTTTCTTATAAAATTTTGAAATTATTCAAGAATTACTTAGGATATGTTTGAGAGTATATGATAGGACAGAAAAAAAAATGGTTGTTAATGGACCCAAAATGGGTGGAGTAGAATGGAATAGAACATTTCATTGTTTGGAAGTTTTATTAGAAGAATAAATGGTTTTATTTAATAATTATTTAAGAATAATTATAAAATCAATAGATTTGAGTTAATGTTTTTACGTTTTATGGTGGAGGAAGTGAAGAGTGAGAGAGGGGTAAGAAGGATGGGCGTAATTTTGTAATAATCTTATCTGTATCATGTCATCCCATTGTCCTCTCCCCAAATTAAGAAGTTAAAAAAGAGTTTGTGATGACTTAGAAGACTTGGAATGCCACCTAAGCCATTCCACTCATTCTTTTAGAATTCTCTCAAACAATGGCATAACACTTCTAACATCCCATTCCGTTTAAAAAAAAAATCTCAAACACTATCTTAATTTTTTTTATCTTAAACAAACGCTTCCCATGTTTATAAGGTGTCTTGAGTATTTTTCATGTGTCTTAAAGAAAAATTATTATGTTGATTTATTTGTTAAACTTTTTTCAATTTTTCAATGATATCCTTATCAATAGAAGGAAAATGATGAATCACCTTTTTTATGTGCCAATGCTTTCTTACGTTAAATAGTAAACTAGAAGATTATTTCATTATTTTGTTTGACACTTCATAATTAGGACTTTTTTTTTTGTAAAATACTCCTTTGATCCTATTTATAGGGTAAAGAGAAAAGAAAAAAATTAATTTTATTTATAAGGCATTTGTCAATTTTTAATATTTCTCTTTACATTTTTGTCCTTATTAAATACTTTAAATAAAAATATTAGTAATGATATTTAAGAATATTTATTAAACGTGAATGTGAAAATTTGTTAAATTTTAAAATAAAATGAATAATGTTTAATATTTTCCTTGATTATTGCGAAACATATTGAAAGTAATTTATAATAGAATTAGAGAAAATATTTTAAAATACTAAAATAAGTTAAAAATTTTAAAGTATTTAATAAAAATATAAACTAAATGAGGAAAATATCATCAATTATCCGATACATGCTCTTCATGTATAACTGGGGAAGTTCGGATCACATGATGAAATATCTCATTCTCATGGGATTCATATGTCAAAACTGAAGCAGCCTGTTGGGTGCATTTTTTCTCTTATTGTTTTGAAAAGATTTGGCATCCCTAGGAAATTTATTTTTTTAATTCAGAATGTGTTACCATGTACTTTCTCCTTTTCTATTTGAAAGGTAGACGGAAATTTTATCACATCATTACATTTTAGTTAGAGCATATTTTTTTCTTTTATCCTACGTTTAAATGTTAGTAAGAGAACATACATTATTAATATATATATATATATATATATATATTTATAGGAGCAGAATTATAAATTTATTAAATTTTTAGATAGAGTTAAGGAAGTTTAAAACTTTCATTGATTTTAATACAATAGGAAAAATTAATCTTTTAATCATTCACCTTTTTACTCATTTATAATGTGATCCTTCAACTATGTCTTATTGTGATTTAGTTTTTTAACTATGACTCTTTACAACTTAGTTCCTTAACTTTTGATTCACTTATAATTCAGTTTTTATTTTTTCAATTTTTTTTAAAATTATCTTTATCAAATAAAAAGGATAAAAGAAATGTTCATATCTTACATTAAAATACCCTCTTCTTATTCTTTGACGTAGGATTTAAGCTAGCATGAAAAAAAAACTAACAAAAGTTAAAGGATTGAGTTATAGATAAGTGACAAGTTAAGTGATTGAATCATAGGCGAGCGAAAAGTTAAAAAATTGAATCATCACAAGTCATAATTAAAGGATTGAGTTATGAATGAGCTGAAAATTTAACTAAAAAAAATTAATTTTTTAAATAAAATATATTAAAAATAATTTATAAATAAAATTGAAAAAAAACACCGAGCATGAGCAAAGCATCTACACATCTAATTAATTAATTAAAAGATGAGTAATATACACTTAAAGGCGTTGCTTTATTACGCAACTACCATGTTCCCTTCCAGTCCAATCCTTTTCAGATCTCACAATCACAACCCCCAACTTGTCTTTTTCTGTCTTTAATTTCTTTCCTCTTTTTATTTTTTATTTTTTATTTTATTTTTTAATCACTGATACAGTACCACTCTTGCCTGCTACAGTACCTACCTTGCCACACTCGCCTGTGCATTCCCTCCTCTCTAAAACTGTAGTACAAGGGTAATATGGTCCAATTAATCGGAGCCGTACCTTTGATCTGATGGCCCACACCGTCCCATGCCCTCGAAACACCTAAATCAATTATTAATTATTATTAGAGTAAAATACAATAACTTCCTTTATTTTTTTTTAAGTTTGGTAAAATTATATAAACTTTATTTTTATCTTCAAAACCTACATTTTAACCTCTTTTTGAATATCGTTAAAAATATTCCATTTAAATTATAAAATATTTAATTATATTAATTAAAATCTGTTAAAAAAATTTATAATTATTAATCTGCCCTCATAATTTAATTTATTTTCTCTCCTTCTATTTAAAAAATATTATCGTTATATTTTCATTAACATTTTACGAAATATTAAAATTAATAATATAAATTATATTAATCTCTCATTATATTAAATTCCTAACTCTTTTTTCCTACATATTTTTTAAATTATTAAATTTTTATTGTCTGAAATATTATTTTGTCAACTTATATGTTTAAATTTTAAAAATTTATCTAAATAAATTTATATAAATGACTCTTAAACGTATAAACTATACAAATAAATTTATTTATATTAAATATTATTTTTGTCAAGTTATAAATTATAATTATCATTGGGTAACTTAAATAATTCTCGACCAACGTTTATGTTAAATAGGGGTAATTTAGTCCAAAATATATGATTTAGCAGTTAATTAACATTTAGACAGATGGAAATAGAATCTTTAAAATAGAGGGGAGGTATGTATTATGTAAATTTTGATTTTAAGAAAGGTTTATATAGGTTTTAAAAATAAGAGGGAAGTCTCTATAGTTAAGCAAGAGAAAATTAATCATTTAATATATATAGTTTTAACCTAATTATAACTCAATCATTAAATTTTTACTTGTTGTAATTTAATTTTTATAGTTTTAGCTCGTTGTAATTCAATTCCTCAACTTTAACTGTTGCAATTCAGTTCATATAATTTTAACCATTTAAATATTGATCCCTATATTTAAAAAAAAATTAATAAGAATAAAAATATTTTAAAATCTTAATATTTATGAAAATTAAAAGGAGTTAGTAATTTAAAATATTAGTCCTAAATTTTATCATAATTTTAGTATTTATAATTTTATTTTTTAATATACAAGGGCTAATATTTAAATAAGTAAAATTATAAAAATTGAGTTGTAAAAATTAAAGTTAAAGAATTGAGTTATAG